GTTCTTTTTGAACAAACGAGAGAGGTGCACAGTCATTTCGGCATAATTGCGTGAATACTTATGCAAATATGCCGCTAGCTTAAGGAATGTTCGAAGACCTTTGACATCAACCGGCACAGGCCAGTCGGTGATCGCCTTGATCTTTTCGGGATCAGGACGTACACCGTTCTTACCAACGATGCACCCAAGAAGTGGTATTTCGCTTGCTGCAAATATACACTTCTTGAGGTTAGCATACAATTGATGCTTTCGCATGATTGTAAGAACTTGTCGGACGTGGTACCTGTGAACCTCAACGTCCGACTTTCCATCCATAGCTCGACTATGGATGAATACGTCATCGAAATAACTCGGCGCGAATTCTCGTACTGGTCTCAACAGATGTGATACACATCTGTTGAAATGGCAGGGGCATTACTAAGCCCTTGTGTCATTACTAGCCATTCCCAGAGCATGCCGCTAGGCGTGCTAACTGCGGTATAGGGTATATCCCGTTCCCGCATTAGGATTTGATAGAAGCCATCCATCAAATCCATGGACGAAAAGATGGTACTCTTTGACATACCATCAATGATTACGTCCTTCCTCGGTATCGGCGTCTGAGCCGGTACCGTTGCAGCGTTCAATTTGTTGAATGCATGCACTATCCGCCACCCTCCTGTTGCTTTTCGCACACAGAAGGTCGGAGAGCTATGTGGGGAAGTTGATTCCCTCACATGGCCCGCTGCTAAACGATCGGCAAAGAACTTGTCGATCGCAAGTACTTGTTCACGAGGCAGTGGCCACTGCTTCATGACACAGTACTTTGAGCCTGGTTTAAGCTCGACTTCGTGTCGAATACCTTTATCCTTCGGTAATTCGCACGGAACAGTTTCAGGGAATACATCCTTGAATTCAACCAAATCTTCATAGAGAGGATTTTTCTTGAGCGATTCCCATGATTGGGACTCATATCGCTCAATTCGTGTCTTTTCATCCAGGACACTCTTGTCCATAGATAAACTACTGAGAACTCTCTCGTTCTCAATAAACGTTGTTGCTGACCTTATGTCGGCTACACACTCGTCGTCAGCGACGAGTATGCAGATCTGCTTGACTTTGCCACTACGCAGATCACGCAAGAACCTTTTGTGTTCGAGCGTTGGCAACTGAGTGATCTACGAAGTTAACTTCGGAGGCGCAATCAGATCAAGTGTATAAGCGCCTACGCTTGATCCATCATTGACTATGACATTCAATTTCTCTGTCATTTCCTGGGGACTTATTCCCTCAAGCTTCGAAGGACTTATTCCTTCGTCTTCCCGGGGACTTATTCCCGCGGGTTTCGGGGAACTTATTTCCGCCGTATTTGTAATCTTGGGACTTATTCCCTTTACTTCCTCTAGCTGGGGTTGCGCAACCACAGCGAGATCCTCTACGAAAGACTCTCCAGTCGATCTAGGATTATCGTTTCGCTTAACCTGAGCGATCGATTGTTTCTCTTCTATATGTTCCCCTCTAGGGATACATCTTTGTCCCAGTCCACCCGACTTATTCGAGTGATGGACCTTCGGCGCAGCCTGTGTTTCCTCACAGCCGCCGGAACTTTGCTCCGAAGTGTAACCGTTTGGTACACTAAGGTTTTGTGCAGTCGTACTAACGACCGTACCACAAGTGAGGCCATCGCACTCACTCGTAGTACATCCACACGCTTGTGGACGCTCCAAAACGTTCATCAGATGGCCATTTGATGAACAAGCGGCAGGCATCGTTACTGTCCGATGTTGCCAGTTTACCCGTGGTTCGTACCTTCTGAGCCACGGTATTCCAAGGATGACATCAAATTTGTCATCCAAATCCAATACGATAAAGTCATCATCATATTGGGAATCTTCTAGCGTATAGTGAATCTTCACTATACGCTTCATGACGGTTACGGATGCGCCTGTCGCAAGACGTACTGTCATCCTCGTAGGAAGTGTGTCACATTCACTGAATTTAAAGTGACCATCTTCTAGCGATTGGCGTCGCACAAAATTGTTGGACGCCCCACAATCGACTAGAGCTCGAAGGGACAACTTATTCGTCACTTCGAGTTTCAAGGTAATGAGTGAGATCTCATTACCTAGAGCAGCAACGCACAACGTCTGTGTGTTGGGAGCAACCCTCATCAAGAGGCCTACAAATTCTCTTGACGTTGCTGGATCAGTAGGGTGCTCCGCACCTACTGATCCTGTCCTTTTTTTGACGGTCCATCCCGTTGTTGCGTCTTTGCACCAACTGCGGACCCTCGTCCCTGCCCCTTTCTCATGGGTGGACGGTCACTACGCCCAGTGTCGCGAGACAATGGACGAGGGGCACTACACTCGTAAGCGTAGTGTCCTGTCTTTTGACATCTGTTGCATCTCTGCAACTTCTTGTAGCCTGTAGAGCGAACCTTCTCGCTCTCTACATAACAGAGTTCCATCGGCTCTGGACCTCCGTTGTCATATCGTCTCGGTTGACGATATGATGTCGAGCTGGCGCGAGCCTGTCTCAGACTGAAGTCTTCCTGCTCCGCAGTGGAAATGGCTTGTTCTAGTGAATCTAGTTCAAGCCGGAACAGGTGAGTCTTGACGGGACCATCCGCAAGACCCTGCATGAACACCGAAACCAACGTGTGTTCATCCACCGGATTGGAACTTATACAACTCGTGAGATGTCGTATATGTTGAGCGTAAGCGTGCACATCACGCTTACCCTGCTTGAGCTTCAAGAGTTCGGTTCGAGCCCTGAACTCAGCTCTAGGCGGTTCAAACGTTTGTCTGAGCCGCGACTTGAAGACTTCCAACGACCCAAACGCATATGGGTCGTGCAGCTTGAGCCCCAGTGCCCAAGTCTTGGCACGTCCTGCCAGATTTGACTGGGCAAATGCAACTTGCATATCCCCGTCGTCGATGCGACGCGCCCTTATGGCGTCATCCAATTCGACGAACCATCTCAAGAGGGAGTCTTCTTCGACCCCTCTATACTTTGAGATGTCAATCTTCAAAGTCTCGGGTCGACGCGAGTGCATCGACCCACCAGCAGCAGCCTGCTGATGTCTCAACAGTTCAAACTGTTGAGCACCTTGTTCTCTCAACAGCTCTGCTTGTTGAGAACCTTGTTGGTGGAGCAAGGCTACTTTCTCGCGTTCTGCGTCAAGTTCATTTTGAATGAACTTGGCGATAGTAGCATGTTGGGCATCTCTATTGAGAGCCACTAGCATTACGCTAACAGCATGGATGCCCATGGTCGAACCCATTCGTTCAACCGCATCCCATTCGACATCGCTCAAATGGGAGTAGCCGTCACGCGTAGCGTGAAAGCTTTGGTCATCTTCATCATCCTACATATTCATGTTAGATGTGAACGCGGTCCTTGGACGGACTACGAAGTGCTACCAGGTGTAACGGGGAACCCTGAAGCTTGTACTGGTGACAGTACAAGCTACTTATTCTGATAACAGAATAAGGCGGTGCCTCGTAACTTCACGTACACTCGTACGTGCAGAGGAAGACGGTAAGAAGAAGCGAGTACTTGGTTAGAGTAAAAAGTAGAACTGTATTTATAATAGTTAATGTCTGCAATAAATCACTATTTATCTTCATCTAACTATGTCTAAATACAAATGTGTAAATCAGTTATCTGCTCACCACTCATTGCGTGCGTCTGTCGTGGCGCGTCTTCGTTGGATGATATAATGGCCTATATCAACCAATTAGGAACTACTTGTAAGTGCTACAGATTATTTGTCCTTATGACAATATTCTGAGAATATAACTCTTATAGTTATATTCTATTAACAATTTCTTATAAATTGTTATGTAACGATTCACCCCGTTACATACCCCGTCATCGTGAATTTAAAGGCAACACATTCACTACACCTTAAATTCCGTCACAATAGCTACAACGTCGAATGTACGAAACTATGCGAGATTCTAAACCGTCTGTACACTGTTGCGCGGTGGACTACTGCGCTCCATCCGAAACGCCCCCTGATCAATATACATTGTACTGCGTGATTGCTCCTGTAAATGCTTCGATAACAAGTGATTTCGAGTGACCTGTACGAATGCTAACAATCCTCGTGGGTCTGTTTTCTTTCGATTACTTCAATACGAAGCCGCACGCTTAATCGATGTGAAGAAGGAAAGCACCAGGGCTCATGTTCCCGCCTGCCTGGCTCGATTTGCCACGAAACACCAACGCACCATCACGATTTCATCGTAGCAGGGGTCATCACGGATGGAATGACAAAACTGCATCCGGCAACGAACGGTGCATCGAACGATTGTCCGTCTGCTGTCGTCCACCTTGCGGATGGTCGGTTCATGACAAGTGTGGCTGAAAATGCATGATGGCGAAAAACACAAAACACGATGCTCAACTTTGACACCAGCTCTACCCTGATCGTCTAGCCTTGAATTTGCCTTGCATCCGCCACCGTTCCCCCTTTCTCATGATGGTTCATGGATTGTAGGTGGTCCCACGTTGCAACACGTTTGCTTTAATACCGCCACCAGCAGTACGTGTAAGGGGTAGCCTGTCACAGAATTTTGAAACCAAACGATGTCAATTGGGATTTTGTCTAGCGTGACAATCTCCTGCTAATACTACCCGAGATAGGTAGTATCGAAAGAACATGATCTTTCTTGGATGACATTCATGTGCTGCTTGACAACGGATGTATAGTAGACATGTCATCCAAAATCACCACCAATCACTGCTAGACGTGCGCAATGAGTGGTGAGCGGGTTGTCATCATACGACGACGTAGTTTAATATAGTTTGATTAAGATTAAAGTTATATCGATAGCTTAACTGTATTTGTACAGTTCTCTTTTTACCTTTACTTGAACGAGTCGTTTAAGTAGAATAGCTTTCTCTGCACGTACTAGTGCACGTGATGTTTCGTGGCACCCCGAATAAAGGGTGCACCGTTTACACCTGGTTGCACTTTGTAGTTCCGTCCAACGACTACTTAGTGTCCGTCCAACATGAACTTGTTGGCCGGAGTAGACGACAGCTTTTACTTCACACGTGAAGGCTACTCCCACCTGAGTGACTCAGAATGGGAGGTAGTCGGCCGTATATGTGTGCTCATGGGTGAACCCGCCATCAGTGGTATGTTGGAGTCTCTTAGTAGAGACCAGCAATATGTTGCTACCAATAAGATCCAACAAGGGGAACTTGCCATCGAAAGACGGAAGGATGCCTTGCTACGACAGCAAGGCTCTCTTCAGTCGATGGGTGGGCCGACGCACATGCGTCGACCCGAAACCTTGAAGATAGATATCTCAAGGTACAAGGGAGCCGATGAAGATTCTGTTTTGCGATGGTTCGTTGAGTTAGACGATGCCATCAGGGCCCGTCACATCGAGGGTGACGAGATGCAAGTCACCTTCGCCCCGTCAAATTTGACGGGACAAGCAAAGACTTGGGCCTTAGGGCTCAAGCTTCACGACCCAAACGTGTTTGAGTCGTTGGAGATCTTAAAGGCTCGGCTCAAAGAGACTATTGAGCCGCCGAGAGCTGAGTCCAGAGTACGCTCTGCACCCTTGAGGCTTAAGCAAGGTAAGCGTGACGTGCACGCTTACGCACAGCACCTACGCTACCTTGCAAGTAGCGTTACGGAGAACCCTGCTGATGAGCCCACGCTCATTAACGTGTTCATCTACGGTCTTGTAGATGGACCGGTGAAGACCTACATGTTCCGGGAGGACTTCCATACGCTGGAAAAGGCGATATCGTATGCAGAACAAGAAGACTTCAGCCTGAGACAGTCTGAGGCGAACACGTCAAACTATCGTCCTAAGAGACGACAAGAAACAGGAGGTCCGAACCAATGGACATTTTTTGCATCAAGAGCGTGAACTCTCGCTCTCTGAGTCACAAGCGAACGGCAAGATGCCATTGCTGTCAGAAGATTGGACACTATTGTAATGAGTGTAGTGTCCCGAGCACCGCATCGCGTCCTAAGACAGGACGCGATCACCACCTATGTCCAAGGAAAGGTCCAAGGCGTGGGTCCGATCATGTAGCTAAGCCGTGACAGCAAGTCGGACCGTCAAAAAATGGACAGGGTCAGTAGGGGCGGAGCACCCTGCTGATCCAGCAACGTCAAGAGAATTTGCAGGACGCTTGACGAAGATTGCTTCCAACACACAGTCGCTGTGTGTGACTGCACCTATTAATGAGGTGTCCCTCATCGCTTTGTAGATCGAAGTGACAAGTGGAATGTCACTTCGCGCCTTGGTTGACTGTGGGGCGTCGAACAGTTTATTCGATGCCAGTCGCTAGGGGATAGTAGGCTCAGATATGCCGAGCAAGAGTTCCCTCCAACGAGGATGAAGATGTGCCTTGCGAAAGGCGCATTCGTAACATTGAATAAACATGTAGTGAGAATCCACTACACGCTAGAAGGAAAGCAGTACGACAATGACTTCGTCGTACTAGATTTAAATGACAAATTTGATGTCATCTTCGGTCTGCCATGGCTTAGAAAATACCAGCCACGGAATAGCCGGCAGCATCGATCTGTGAAGGTGCCCGCCGTTTATTCATCAGATGACTATCTGATGAACGTCTTGGAGCGTCCACAAGCGTGTGGATGTACTACGAGTGAGTGCGATAGCCTCACTTATGGTACAGTGGTTAGTGTGACTGCACAAGATCACAGTGTAGAGGCCACTACACTGTGGAAACAGCTTCCGGCACTTGTGTAGAGACACAGGCTGCGCCGAATGTTCAACACTCGAAGAGATCGAGTGAATTGGAACGCGGATGCACATCAAACAGGGTGCATCCAAGAAAAGAGGTTGGTGTTTTTCAGGATGAACAACGCGTTACAGCGAGATCGAAGAAACGAGAGTCAATCGTAGAGCAAGCCCGATCAACTGAAAGAGGGTCGATCGATGAGGAAGTGACTGTGGTAGTGCACCCACAGTCAGCACACGTCTTGGAAGAAAGTTCCAGCGTTCCTGAGAGCAATAACTCCCGAGAGATTTTTGTTGATGGTGTAAATCCCCAACCACCTGCGGATGTGTTTTTCCAGGAAAGAACCGAGACAGTGATTGTCTTGGTGAATGACGGATCTAGTGTAGGCGCTTATACACTTGATCTGTTTACACCCCCGAAGTCAGCTTCAAATGGTAGTCAAGTTGCTAACGCTATAATACAAAAGATTCTTGCGAGATCTGCGTAGCGCCAAGATCAAGCAGATCTGCGTATTCGTCACAGAGGACGAGTACGTCGCCAATATTCGATCGGCACAAGTGTCTGCTGAGAACGAACGGGTTCTCAGTAGCTCATGTATGGACGAGAGGGTCCTCGATGAGAAGACTCGGATTGAGCGACACACGTCTCAATCTTGGGAGTCCTTGGAGACAAATCATTTAAGCAAGGATTTGGTTGAATTTTGTAGGGATGTTTTCCCGGAATCCGTGCCATTCGAGTTGCCTAAGAACAATAGCACTCGACATGAAATCGAACTGAAACCCGGTTCGAAACAATGTGTCATGAAGCAGTGGCCACTGCCTCGTGAACAGGTCACAGCGATCGACAAACTCTTTGCCGATCGTTTAGCGGCTGGTTAGGTGAGGGAATCAGCTTCCCCACACAGCTCTCCGACCTTTCTGTGTTCGAAAGGCCACAGAAAGGGGGCTGGTAGTGCACGCGCTCAACAAATTGAATGCTGCAACGGTACCGGCTCAAATGCCGATCCCAAGAAGGATGTCATCATAGATGGTATGGCAAAAAGTACCATCTTTTCGTCCATGGATTTGATGGATGTATTCTGTCAGATCCTCATGCGTGAATGGAACACCCCTTACACAGCAGTGAGCACCCCCAGTGGAATGCTCAGGGAGTGGCTAGTAATGCCACATGGCTAAGTAACGCCCCTGCAGCGTTTAACAGATATGCTACGAATCTGTTTCGATTGGTGCGAGATTTTGCACCGAGTTCATTTAATGATGTCTTCGTCCATAGCCGGTCGATGGATGGAAAGAAGAAGGTGGAGGTTCAAGGAATTTACGTTCGGAAGGATCTTACACTAATGCGAGAGCATGAGTTGTTCGCGAACCTCAAGAAGCGTATATTCGCAGTGAATGAAATATCACTTCTTGGCTGCATCGTGGGTGATAACGGTGTACGCCCTGATCTGGAGAAGATCAAGGCGATTAGCGGCTGGCGTGTGCCAGTCGACGTCAAGGGACTTCGAAAGTTCCTCGGCTTGGCGGTATACTTGCACAGGTACTCGCACAACTACGCCGAGATGACAGTACGTCTCTCTCGTTTGCTCAAGAAAAACGAGAGGTGGTCATGTAGCGCTGAGTTTCAGCACTCTTTTGAACGTATCAAAAAAAGATTGATGCGATCGCTTGTGTTGGCGATTGCAAATCAGGATAGACCATTTCATGTGGTCTGTTACGCCAGCGATTTTGCAATCGGCTTCGCGTTGATGCAGTATGACTCAGACGGCGTGAGTGCGTCGTCTGTTTTCAATCGCGTCAGCTGCAAGCAGCTGAGCAAAATTATCCGGTGCATGACAAGGAACTCCTTGCCATGAACTATGCACTCGCCAAGTTTCGGGTGTATCTCTTAGGAGATAGGTCCTTGATCGTTTACACCGACCATGCGTCGTTACGCACGGTCGTAAACAGTCCACACTACTCGCAACGAATGGCGAGGTGGCTGTCTTTATTCGTGGAGTACAACTTCTCCTATAACTATAAACCAGGACGACTTCATGTCGTTACTGATGCTCTTTTGCGTCGGCCCGATTTTGAGCCGACCACTCAGCCCAATAGTAGGGGTGAGATTACTGTTGCAACACTATTAGCTGCTGTTCCGTCGTCAAATCTGCTCGACGACGTGCGAAAAGTATACGCAGAAAATGAGTCTCTTCTGCGATTGATTGATTGCGTATTCAATCCGTGTAATCGAGCTTTGAAAAGCTTTTCGTCTCAATACCTCGCCTCAACCGAACGATATTCTGTCCGTGATGGACTGTTGTGCTATACAGCGGTCAACGGCGACACACCTCGTGTCGTCGTTCCGGCTCATAATGATTTGCGATTGCGCATCATAAATGAGTGTCACGATACCCCCAACAAGTGGGCATCGCAGTAGAGAAAAGACTTGCTTCATGGTGAGTCGTGACTTCTAATGGCCTCGCCAGTGTGATTTTGTATGCAAATACATTCGTGCTTGCGAAGTTTGCCAATGGGTGAAGCCTAGTCCTTCATTCCGCGCACCCTTACAGCCTCTTCCGATTCCGGCAGAGTGTTGGCAGTCCGTATCGGTGGACTTCGTCTTTAAGTTTACCGAAGAAGCTCACAAGAATACTAGTATTCTTGTGTTTGTTGATTGGTTTCAGCAAGATGATACATCTTGTTGCTGTACCGTAGTCAATCAGAGCCCAGGGCTGTGCTCGTGGCTTCATTGATACTATCTTCTGACTTCACAAGCTACACCGTAAACTTGTGTGTGACAGGGACGCCCGCTTTACAGCGGATTTCTGGCAATCCGTGATCTGTTCACTTGGAACACGGTTGACGATGTCTGCTTCTGACCATCCCGAAACACTTGGTCGGACGGAACGCGTCAAACCGCTTCCTCGAAGAGATACTTCGAGGGCATGTCCACTCGTTTACGAGCTGGAGTGAGTTCATGCTAATGGCGGAATTCACCATAAACAATTTGGTGCATGCGTCGTCAACGCACACACCGTTCTTCGTGAACGGACTACGTCATCTACATTTATCCGCCTTCTTAGAGTGTGACTCTAGTTTATGTAGGGGGGTGGACTCGCTCGAACGAAAGCCGATCTGATACGTGCTCATCACCCGTCGACAATGGTGTCGACGTGATGGATGCCGATGTCAATGAGATCGTTATCGATGATGACGATGACGACGATGCTGGCATATTCAGCATCGCCAAGGACCGCCAAAGTGAGTACGATGACGCCCTCACTGGTGAAGAAACGTTCTTTCAGCAGTGCACACGAAGTGCTTTGCTGTTGACAAGGATGAATCAGCAAAGGAAGTTCTGCTGACTTGCAGTTGTCCGCTTCGTTCAAGATTATATTGCAGACACAATAGACAAGCAGAAATGAAACACAGAAAAACATGAAAGAGAAAACTTTCTTTTATTTGATGGAGTAGATTTAGTTTTACTGTCTGCAGTAAAAATACCGAAACGCGCAGTGACAAACGTGGGCAGCAGTAAATTACTGCCCAAGTACATCGGTCCATTTCGTGTGTTGGGTCGGATGGGCAACGCATACACGATTTAACTGCCCCGTAAGATGCGTACGCATCCTTAGTTTCACGTCATTCTTCTCCGCCCTTACTATTAATACGAGCCCGTTTCAAGATGCGAAGAACACCTCCACGGTCGAGAGCCGAGACCACCTTCGAGTGGTCCCGTTTCACCAAGCCAGTCTGCTCGACTAGCGAAGCGACCTGTTCACGCAGTTGATCGATGTCTTGACGAGCTGCAGTAAGCTCGTCACGAAAAAAAAGAGTCGAACGTTCGTTCTCAAGTTTCGCGAACGCAACGCGACACTATCGTCCGAACGATCGTGCAATAAGAAAATGTGTCTATCCTTTACAAGATCATGAAGCACATAACACCGAGTCCTTTCATGATCCAGGTCATCTTGTAACTGTTCTGTTACACGGTTTGGTTCTGTAGAGGAGTGGCGCTGGCTCATTTCCTGAGACGATACCGACTTTCCACTGGCGCCCGAACGAACGACTAACGGAGGGGATAACCCGATTTCGTGCTCTTTATGTTCTTGCTCACCTTGTGTACCCGTCGGTGGGGCGGGTTGCGCTCTTCTGGGTGGACTTGAGCTGAAGCTGAA